CAAGTGAGCATGGGTCATGGCGCTCATCAATGTCTACGCTGTCCTCTAATGCTCTTAAACTGCGTTTATCGCACGCCTTGTTCTAAAGTTCTCTCTCAGTCTGCACTGAATTTAAGTGGTACTGTTCGGTGCGAACACATTCTGACTGTTCTGACTCTGGAAGATTGGCTGCTCTAAGAAGCTTAGAAGTGTTCTGTTGGCAGGTGAAACACAAGTCAGTCATCGACTTCGCCACGGCGAGGTTTGGACGGAATTGTTTCCATAACTCGATAAATTTCGTGTAACTCACAAGCACAAGCAAGCACAAGCATTTTTAAAGCAGTTCCAGACATGCATTTTGGTCTCACTCGACAAAAGTAGCACAATGTCCTCGTTTTTAAAACCAGGGATTCTCCCAGGAAGTAGTACAGCATTCTCTTCAGTGTAATTGCTTAGGAAGTTTTTTACATCTTCTGCAATGGCCTGTGGCACAGAGTGTTATGTGGAAGCCTCTTGCTGTTCTGGTGTACCCGCACAGAAATTCCATGGTTTTGATAGTTCCAAGAGCCTTTGAAACCGAGACTTACTGATGCCGTACATGTGCAGAAACATTTCTTTGCAAATGAGATGAGACTGATAGAGAAAGCTGTAAGCTGGAATTCTTTTTCTTTTCCCCCCGGTTACTTCAGCCGCCGTGAAAGCTTGAAGGTTTGCCAAGATTACTAAGTCCAGTTCCGCATGAGACAGTTCCAGGCAGTCGTATAGGTTGCCAATAACAGTTTCCACTGTGAAGTAATCCGAACACTGGCCACCTTTCAACCCTTGATGACATCCGCACCCAACTTGTTAAAACTTTTGCACTTTGTGGACGATACTTGAAACATTTTCCGTGTGATCGCAATCCATATCTTCCCTCATTGAATTCTCCATTTTGTGATTGTGTGAAATAGCTACGAAGTGACAGTTGTTAGCAGTAAGCAAGGCAACACATTTTTATTGGATATGACAGTTAAAATTATCGAGCTGTTTCCAAAGCAACATGTTTTCTTTCGTCCGCTGTTTCACTTGAATAGAACTTGACACTATTGAATTGCATGCTTTTTGTGTGCAAGTTGCTCGGTTGTACCTTATCTTAATAGGTCGAATTCAATAATAAAAGTATTATATTATAAATGGTCAAGTTTCGACTCGTTTCAAGTGATCTTTCCACAGATTGTGTCAATACGGTTTGTAGAATTGAAGTAATGACTTGTTCTTTCCGTGTCAAAATTATGCAAATCAACGCAGCCGACAAATTGGCACGCGCTCGTTTGTTTATTCATTATTTCGTTCACACTGAGATATTGAAGAGGAAAGATAAGACAAGGAGAAGCGTCGCCTACTCAGCAGAAGCATTCTTGCAGCGAAATGTATTAAAATCATTGCTTTAAATCATTGTCGAAATGTTTGCGTGACATTATGTTTAATTAAGGAAATGAGCGCGGCAGACACTTGATCAGGGATGTTATTCTCAGTAAAGAAATTTTCTTCACTCTAAAAAGACTGATTTTCAATGCAGTATTAGTTAACTTGAGGTTTCAAGGTTTATTTCTCATCACAAGTGAACCATTAAATTATTCGGTATGAAAGTCGTTTGATTGATGATAATGTAAACACAGGGTGCCCACAGAAGCGGTGTGTCCGTTTGTTTGTTCGAAATGTAAAGAAATGTATGGGAATATTGAAGAATCTTAATATCGTAAACTTATATATCGAGTAAAGTGTATGTTAAAGTTCAAAATCAACGTAAATCTACCTCGTTTGTTGTGTATTGTCGTTTCTGTGGCTCTAAATGGCGAATTTGAGCGATTTGGTGGGCTTTGCGTTGACTGTTACTACATGACTTGTTATTATGTCATCCTTGCGACCTTATCCATTCGGAAATTTTGATTTGCCATTCATCCTTTCGACCTTATCCATTCCGAAATTTCTGATTTGCTGTTTATCCAGTCGACCTCATCCGTTCGAATAATTTTTGTTAGCCGTTTATCCATTCAACCTCATCCGTTCGAAAATTTCAATTAGCTGTTTATCCATTCGACCTCATCCGTTCGAAAAATTCAAGAAGCCGTTTATCCGTTTGACCTCATCCGTTCGAAAATTTCAATTAGCCGTTTATCCATTCGACCTCATCCGTTCGAAAAATTCAAGAAGCCGTTTATCCATTTGACCTCATCCGTTCGAAAAATTCAAGAAGCCGTTTATCCGTTCGACCTCATCTGTTCGAAAATCTTAATTAGCTGTTCATCCATTTATGGTACCCGTTTCGAACGGCTTGCCTAACTTCTCGTCGCCCGTTCGCTTGCTGTTCCATTCAGCGTTCGAACGGCTAGCGTTTGGAACGTTATCGCGTGAGAGGTCACATATGTTTCCCGCTTCCACGCTTCACGCATGCGCCGTACGGTCAGGAAGATCAGGAAGTCATGGAGGCCAATGAGAAGAAGCGAAGGCTGCGTGGATTTCACTGTTTTTGTCTTCAAATTTCGTTTGTTTTATAAAATACTGTGGTATCAAAGTAAACGCCAGTAAAGAGAAACCAAGTCGATTTTTGCAAGTACAATTGATTAGTGTATGGCTCATTCGCTACAATCACCCTTTACTAAGAACAGTATATTTAAACTTACAAAATGTGGACTTTCTCTAAAGGTTTATGTATTCTACGCAGTGTAACACGGATTATGGTTAAAACATATAATTGTAGCTGTAACAGGAACATGACTTTATCTTTGGTGATGCAGCAACGTTTATAAAAGATTGCAGAGTTTTATTTGGAGATATTTTTATTGTACCTTTCTTGGGTTTCTTGCAATTTGCAGCAATGTGCAGCCTGGGGTTGGGAAATTTGATTGGATTTGACTGGAATGATTTGCCCGTGGGCAAGGAATTTGATTGCAAATTTTTGAAAAAAGTCAAATCCCCACCCCATGCTCTGCCTCTCCTCCTCCCCCCCCCCCCCCGCCCTTCCATTGATAGGGGAATAAAATTAAGCGATCATAGCGGAGGAATTGCCGCACCTGTAAGAATGTCCCGCCATGGCCCCACCGCTCCGGTTGCTAATGTTTTGGATCTGGCAGTTAGCTCTTCCTTACACATTAGAAAATTGTCAAGTCGTAAAAAAAAGTCAAATCCCCCCCCCATGCTCTGCCTCTCCCCCCCCCCCCCCCCCGCAGGCATTACATTGATAGGTGAATAAATATAAGCGATCATAGCTGAGGAATTGACGCACCTGTAAGAATGTCACGCTATGGCACCATCGCTGCAGTTGCTAATGTTTTGGAACTGACAGTTAGCTATTCAATAACAATTTGAAAATTGTGCATTCGTACTGTATCACATTGTTTATGTACACAAGTAACATACAGCATGTGCGCTATGCGTGAGCTTGCACTGTGGAGGCTCCTACGTTGTGTTTCAGTGTAGATTGAAACTGACCTCTGCATTCTTTGATAATCTTGAATTTGTATGAGGAGGCTTATCATCATTTCCGGAAATAACGCTTTGTAAAACATAGCACAGAAGAAGGATGAAAAACCACGCGGTTTGAGACATTGCATCAAACTAAATGGGTCAAAGGTCGACTGGAGCGGGACTGGAACGAGACAGTGACGCAACAACTATAGTTTCCTTTTGTTTGAAACTTCTTAAGAATAAAAAGAAATGATTGGATTGCAGCATTTCGACAAAGAAGAAAGAAGCAATCCACAGTCCCATGTTTAATCACCATTCCCTAATTCCTTGGGGATCATTTCGGGGTCGACAAGAAGAAAAATGGGGATCATTTCGCGGTTGGGATCATTTCGGGGTCAATTTGGGGATCATTTCAGGGTTGGGGATCATTTCAGGGTCGGGATCATTTCGGGGGCTGTACAGATCTTTCTTTTAATAACAACTAAGATATGGCAGTAAAATATTAATTTCTTCGTGAATTTTATTAACAGATATACCACACTATATTGCCCACATAAAACCAGGTCCATTTTAGCCAAAGACTATCAAAGAAAGAGAAAAATATTTTATAACCATTGATACTCTGGTAGATGTTTTTGAATTTTTTAAAGTCTCAATCACTTAACTCTATCTGTTATTAAGCAAACTGTTGAGAAATTGAAGACAATCAGTTCACTTCCCAAATCCATTAGAATTTTTTGTTGCCTGTTCAAAATACTTAGCAGAAAAGATGAATACTTTAAAAGGAATAATTTAAATAACAGAAAAGCCTGCTTCTGGAATAAAAGCTAACCTGTCAGTGCTTATTTTGCTAATATCCTCTTGGATAGATTATTAGTGACTGTATTATTTAAAAATAGAAAATACGGTGGAGCTTGACTAGACAGCTTTAAACAACACTTTGCAGATAATGACTAGGAATTCAAGAAAATACTGAGGAACATTGAAAACAAAATCAATTTATACCTCACAAAAGGTTTTTCTATAAGAGGTAACACAACGTGCCGACTTGGGATGGACAATTCAGTTATTCTTTGCCACTCTAGGAAATATATATCCCTTTTGGATACCTGTGGAAAAAAGTCAACTTTTCAGTTTTAAACAAGACGCTTTAAGAGCGTCTATTCGGGCATCATTGTACTATCATATGTGATGTCTCTTATGTGTACGGTCGAAGCTGTCCTTGTGACTACTCTCATATGCGATCAGCTCTAGTTATGACGGCATTAGAGAAACCCCAGTGGAACTGTGACTGCAAATTTGGAATGAAAAGCTCTTGCAAGCGACCGCTTATGTAAGTGACTATGAGCAATTTTGGGATTACTTTAACATATCCATCGCGTCTCATTTCTTTGTCCCGCACTGTCTAGTCCAGTTTAAATACGGTGTTCAGCTCTCCATGTTAATGATGCGTTGTTGCTTAGTTCCTTTATCAAAATATCAATCTTTCTTTGCAGTAAAATGTGTAGGATACTTCCATTCCTTCCCCAGCCTATATCCTTATTAATCAATTACTTGCCTCAAGCTCCCAATAACTTCAGCTCCTGGTAACTCTTACTTTTTTCAATCTCCCTAAGAGATTTAAATTGACTGTACTATAAAACCTTTCTTTAAGAATCAACCTAGATACAGTAGGAGTCAAGTTGAAGTTGAAGTATTTTTATTGTCACTAAATCCCCCCAAAAATGACAAAAAATCTCTCCAGTCTACCACAATATTATATTTGTTCAATCAAGAAAAGCAACATTTAATGCAAAATTTAATTGGCACCTGATTCTTTTCACAAACTTTTCAGAGTTGCAACTAATGAAATTCAACTAACCTGTAATCATCAGCCACAAGCAAATTAGTAACTGGACACAACTCGTGATTCAAAGGATTTGCCCATAAAGTTAGTGTGACACCGAAATTAGTGGCAAGTACCAGCAATAAATAATCAAAACAGCAACGACACTAACCACTTTATTTATTTCAAACTCTAGTGGGAAAATTCTCCTATATGTTTGTGGTATATGGCCTTTACCTCAACACCAGGAGTTACAAGGTTGTGTCTTATGTGCCTTATGCAATTGTTCATTTTGTTCAATTGTTCATTTTGTTGAAAAAAGAGTTCCTTCTTTTAATCCTGTGGTCATTTTTTTTTTAAAAAGTCCACATTAAGTGAGTATTATTCTTGAGCATGTAATGTGAAAGGCAAAATTTGTACATGTAACTGTCTCAGTTGCGTAAAGTGCTAAACAAAACCCAGCTTTGCAAATGGTGTCTAAAATGGCTTATCAAACGGAGCACGCTAACCAGATGCTAGTGCTTTGCTGTTTACACTTTATTATTATTATTGCAATAATAATATCGATAGTCAACCTATAAGGTATCTTAAAAAAATTCAATCTTCTGTTAATTTTATTTTGACCTGCCACATTTATATACAGATGGAACTTATATTAACGGGTACCTTTGGCTTTTCTCTCAGCTTTTGACCATGGAATTTTTACCTCAGTGCGCTGTGGTAATTTTTTGGACTCAGCTAAAGTAAGCAAATCGACATTGTCAAAGAGAAAAATCTCACTTACTGTCATATAACGCATGATGAAAACAGTAATTGGGAAGAAAATGGTTAGATGTTAAATTTGCTACCTATCAAAAAAGAAATAAACAACACACAGTTGCATACATACCTGTATGCATACCATCTTATAACGTATTACTGGAAACTGCTAATTGTTATGTAGATATATACTATCAAGGCTATGTTGTTCGGTTGTGTTAAGGGTAAAACCTCTACACTCTCAGACGAAATTAGGATGGGTTTATGTCCCATTAAACAAAACAGTATGGGATAAACACTTAGGGCCTCTTCAGCAAACCTCTTGGAAAGTAATATTCTGCCTCTTACATTTTGTGGCTTAATCAAAAATACATTTGAAATTTTGATCATGAGCTTTTCCGGTATATACAAGTCTGATAGGCCAATTGGGTACAATGAAAAACAGTTTACCTTGGTAGTTGGGAGGCAACCTCAAATGCCTCTTTTCCAAACGAAGGGGTTCCTCCCCTCTTAAAAACAGTCCAAATGAGAAAAGCCTGACTGTCCAGAGCCACAAGCCACTCATGCCGTAGCAAAACAAAATAACAACAACAATGATAAAAAGATTAACTTAAAATCAACCACCCAAATGTGAATAACAAGAAACATGCTAAGTAGACTTTGTCATTTGTTTACTGAAAAGTGCATGTCTTGTTATCATTACTTTTATCTTCAAGTTAACTGTAGAATTACTTTTCTTTTATTTTCATTCACTTTGTCGGATGTGAAATGTAAAAATATCTAAGGCTAAGTGCTAATGACAGACAGGAAAAAGTATTCAGCTGTGAGATTAAGAATCTACACTATTATAGGTAACTTTAAACTAAACAAAACCACACTATCCTTCTCTTATCAGAAAGCTAGGTGCTCTAAATATCTAGTTTGTAAAGTATACATAATTACACATAATCCAAAGTGTATAAAATTTACAATATGATTAATTTTACTATCCTAAATTGACACTTCTTACCCTACCTCAATTGTATTTAAATAGTAACTGCGAATCCGTAGCAACTTCTGCAATGACAAGGGTGGTGCCTTCTCGGGTTCATAAGGCACACGGCCGCTCTGTGTCTGATCTCGTTGGCCTGGCTGCCCTTTTGATTAATTGTTTCATTGTCTTTTTGACATCTGCAAAATTCACGGTAAAAATACCGTTAACAGAAAAAATTGAGGAAAACAACAACAAGGGGACTCACCTGGTGATTCCATTGGATTCCCCCGGGGAATCAACTTTTGAACACCAACAATTTCCTGTATGTCCTGGTTGTATGGACCACTATGTCCAAAGGCATCAAACCAGTACTTAAAGGCTGCTGCATGGCCTCCTAATACTGGTGGCTGTAGACCACGGCATCGCAAAGTTCCAAGACGCTTTCGTTTAGTTTCACCCTTCAGTTCTTAAAGAAAGTTGAAAACAATACCTTTGAAAACCAAGTCCTAACAAAGCAACTGTCATTGTTGTACAAGTGGACAATCCTTGACAAGTCTTGGGACAGTTTTGCATCTCTAGGGCGTTTTCTAACTCACACAGGCCTATGCCCTCCCCTCAAGCCACAAACAAAGTTGGACGTGTGTATCCATATTTTTTCCAAGTTTCAACTTTGTATAGGTTAGAGGGGAGGGCACCCACCAGATAAATCACTTTCCTGCGGATAAGTATTAGCGATTTCTCTAGAGGATAGCTTTATCAGCCTGAATATATCTTGGATGCCTCACTAATTAAACCTGATCTTAGCGTATTTCAGTGTGGTTTGCAATGAATTATTAAAGATTGATGATGCAAAAACCACAAGCTCTTGCGATTGAGGAGGCCCTGGATACCTCGGTGGCTCGAAGAGCCTCAATATGGCGCAGGGTGTTCTTGAAGTAGACGGTGGAAGTGGTAGGTGGAAGTGTCTCCAGTGCCAATGATCAATCTGTCACGGATTAAGCTGTCACAAAGATCTTCAAATTCACATGACTCAGCAAGCTGGCGCAGTCTCACTACATACTGATCAATGCTTTCATTTTCAGCTTGATTGGCAAAACCAAATTTTACTCTTTCAAACAACAAATATTTTTGGGGCATAAAATGGTCAATTAAGGCAGAAAGAATCTTCTCTGGGTCTTTCTTGTCAGATGCAGTTAGAGTAGTAAGGATATTCATTACTTTCACACAGTCCATTCCCATAACACTGCATAAAGCCCCAGCCTGTACTTCTTTAGGTTTCTTGTCAATTTCAGTGGCAGTGACATAACAACACCAAGCTTCTTTAAACATTTTCCAACTTTTTGGTGCATCACCCTTGACGTTCATGGGTGCTGGTGGTGGTATTTGATAAAATGGCATGTTGAAGAAAATGAATACTCACAGTTCTGGTGCTTTCTAGTTTCTTTCAGCTAAACAATATGGCAACGTCTCACCACGTGCACGACTCGCGAAGGAGAAAATAATACCACCAAGGCAACGAGGGCTTCTCTGAAATGTTCCCCTTTGTACTATCAACGGAGTGAACAAGAAAACAACACCATGCTTGTTTGTCCCGAATAACTCCGTACTTTTACTGACTGATCACGTGACGTGATGATCTCGTGATTAACAACATTATATCCCTCCTCTTCTTGGGATGAAGACTAAAAAAGTACCTAAAAATAACTCACATCAAAAAGTCTTTACAAATCTGTTTCCGACTAATTAACATTCTCAATCTTAAAAACAACAACAGTGTTTACCTGAAAATCGTGTCCGAAAGATCAGTCCTTCAAATGTCACTTGTGAATAAGAAAACAAAACATGAACAATTCAAAACTTCTGAACGGAAGTCTAATTGACAGAAATCACATGCACATAATCATTAAATCTGACAGGGGGTTTAATCTGCCTTTGCGATCGCCTCAAGGGGCTGTCTTCCTTTCCGACAGATGTGGGATTCTCTACATCATCGTTCTTTCCACTGTGGTCTTGCAGTAGCTGTTTAGGAACAACTTTAAACTTTTACAGTGTGTGATCCATTGATTGCTGTGATCATTGAACCTTTCGTCCCCTTTACAACAAAAGGCTTGGGATTGTATGGTGTGTGTGATTGTTGTTGTGATTGTTCGTAATGTTTATGTTGTTTCATGAGTACAACCTCTCCCGGTGTGATCTTTGTCTCTTGAGCATTTCCCTTTTGATCAGCATAGATCTTCATCTTCTGTTTTTGCAAAGCATCTCTCTGTGCGAGACCAGCTGATGGATCTTGAAACATGGACTGTTGCTGCTCGTAGCGGGTGGTTGATGTTTCAGGTAGCCAAGTCTTGAGTTTTCTGCTGTTCAGAGCTTCACAAGGCGAAACATGTGTTGTGGAATGGGGAGTTGCGCGGTACTGGCTTAAGTCCTTATTACATAATTTCCAATTCTTGCCCTCTATGTGGGCAATCCTGATGTTTGAACTAGACGTTCGGCTTCACCATGTGCTTTTGGCCAGAGTGGTGTGATTTTTCTGCGCTTAAATCCTAGATAGTCAGAAAAATTTTTGAACTCATGCCCATTGAAGGGGGTCCATTGTCACTCTGCAAAATGTCTGGTACACCATGTCTTGAAAATATAGCGTCCAGTTTTGGAACCACAGCTTTGGCAGATGTTGAAGTGAGTAGTTCTACCTAAGGAAGACGGCTGAATTCATCCACAGCCACCATTATGTAATCTCCACTTGGGAATGGTCCTGCAAAATCAACTGCAACTTCTTTCCAAGGTGCACTGGGAAGTGTGGTCATCTGAAGAGGTTCTCGTGGTGGTGATTTCGCTGTCGCTGCTTGGCACGAGAGACAGTTTTTTACTTTGTTTTCTGTCCTGGGAACCACACTTTGTCTCTGATAAGTTGCTTGGTATAAACAATTCCTTGGTGACCTAAATGTGCCAATTCTACTACTCTGCTTCTGAGGGTGAGTAGTATGAGAATCCTGTTCGTTCTCAACACTACTCCTTTG